CTATCCGAATTCTTCTGAATCTTGGCGTTCTCTAATACTTCCTACGCTCATCTTGTTTATTAGAACCCCCATCTTTCACAAAAAAAATTGTAGTTGAAAGGTTTAGCGCCAGGAAAAACCTAGTGGTAAAAACTTCTTTCTTCTTGACTGAGGCGAGAAAAAAATATGCCATTTTTTAACTTGGAAGGATTATTTCCCGAAAGTTCGATTCTATAGCGCGAGCAGCTGAGGCTGGCTGGCAAAAGCTGCTCCTATTTTTTTCCAAGAAGTAGAGAGCGAACGAAATTATTGCAAAAGTCCCTGTTGAATCGTAATTGTGCCATTCTGGTTTTATATGATGCACTCCCTAATTAAGGCTAAGTTGTTTTCCTGCACAGCTTTCTATGGCTCGGACGGAAATCAACCGAATTGGCTTATTCGGAGCGACGAGCTACATAATAGGTTCTGTGATCGGATCAGGCATTTTTGTTTCGCCGAAAGGTATCCTTGAACATGCCGGATCTGTCGGGTTGTCTCTCATAATATGGGTGTTGGCCGCAATATTGGCTAGCCTAACAGCAATAGTGAGTTAATAATAGTCATTACTTCACTCTATAATCTTTTTACTTTCAGAACTATATCGAACTGGGTACTAGTATCCCTGAGTCAGGAGCAGAATTTGCTTATGTTACTTATGTAGGATGGTACCCAGTTGCTTTTTCTTTTCTTTGGTTGTCTGCTATCATACAATGGTATGAGTACAGATGTTTCAGTAGACTCGCAAACGTTTATAAAAGAAATTTATCACTTAGCTCCTGCAGCGGAGCCACGTTGGCGCTCACGTTTGGAGAGTACATTATGGTCGCCATAGATCCATTAGTTTGTATGAGTGATTCGTACCGTAAAAATGCCGTTCTCTTGTTGTCGTACGGTATTTTATGTGAGTTTTTGATATTCTAGCAGCAAATATCTTTTCTGGTTATTGTCAACTGTTATCAAAGATATTTGTGATTAGCAAAAACAAAAGTAAAGCAAACACTCAGATGGCCAATGACATACAGATAAACTCAAGTATATAGTATAGCTCAATGTGTCCTTAGGAAATTTACAGTTTACGTCTACAAAGATAATGCGCAAGAAAGATTGTTTTGCAAATTCGCCAAATATGTTTTGATCCACTTCATCTATACGTTAAAACATGCAACACAGTATCTTTTCTTGTGACAAATCCTACTTTCTCTATAGAAAAACAATACTGCCCTATAACCATTACGTG